AGGAGAACCTTTGTTTTGCCTGGCATTTTTGGAATCATCACTACAGTTTAGTACAATCAGATACAGTTTGTTCAAGGAATTATCAAAGATCACATTTGGATATCAGGTTGGAATTGAGCTTGACAGGTAGACATTGATCAGTGCTATCAGAAAACAATCTAATTCAAAGGCAGAGTTGAGAAACACGCCATTAAGAGAATTATTCAAACATCTGCAGAGATAGTTATGTACCATTTAAAAAAATTATTTCCAGAGTGCAGTTCCATTTGGAATATAATTCAAGATAGGACCTAGATCTCTGATTTATACAGGAGGACATAAATTCACCACCTGCCTGGTCTACTTTTATATTTCAACAAGGGTTGTGTGCAGCTGCTGTTCCTGGCAAAATAAAAACCTTGGAAGTGAAACACGAACCGATCATAAAGGGCGATCACTTTTTCTTCATCAAATCCATCAGATCGTCTTCTATTCCCTTCTCACTCAGCTCATCAAACTGTAGTACCGGTGGACGATCTTCTCGGCAGTGACACCACGACGCGAGCCCATGGGTGCTTTGCCCAGCTGGCAGCCGATGGCCGAACGACACCACCATGTCCAGGTTCTGGTAGGTGCCCCCAGGTTCCTGTGGTAGTGGCCTGAGAACACGGCTCGGACACCTGCAGGGAAGGGAAAAAGACGTTAGGGCCAAGATTCCCAGGCAGGGGAGGTCCTGTGTTTATTCTGTGAACAGTCATATATTAAATATATCATTATATATAGTTATATATCAAATGCATGATATCATTCCATGTTTAATAAACACAAAGGCAGCACATGTGCCAGCTAGAATCTTTTCAAGGATAATCTGCATGTACAATATATGATGATATGTTTGCCATAAGTGGTAAGAGAAAGCACTAGGGATTGAGAGAAAGGTGAATGACTTTGGATAAGTCATTTATCCCAAAATAAGATGAATGACTTTGGAAGAGATGAAGAAGACGAAAGAAAACGGTACATACTGAGGCCACCATAAACATCTGCAGGATGTCTATATGTTTATTAAAATGATGCTTGTGGAGTTCTAATCAAGGTGTGCAGAGCGTGTTCGACATTTGATGTGCCTCATCTGCTGCAAACTTACAGCTGTGATAGATAAAATGGAAAACAGAAAACCCAAGGACACAGTTGGGCTCAAAACAAAGCAAACAGCTCTAGGATCAAAATCAAAACAGAAAGGCAAAGTAATGAGTAGGAGTAAAATGTTGCCAGGAGTGAAGCTCTTAGAAGATCCTGTAGTCAAAGCATTTTCAGAGATGGAGAATAAAGCCGGCTTCCTGTCTGAAACACGGGGAGGGTCTGTTTAGGGAAGGAGAGACTGAGGAACGCGGGGCTGTCTGCTGCCTGGGCTGCCGCAGTGGTATGCTGGCAAATGTTTAACAGCTTATTTAAAAATGGAGCTGATTGTAATGTTTACTAATTCCATGGTGTAAATACTCCCATCATGGCATTTCGAGGTTGCCACTGCGATGTCATCGAGCTGGATGTGGAAAGAGATGCCCAGTAGTGCCCATTATATGGTGTTTCCACCATAAGGATACAAAAGCGGCCACAGGGTGAGGTGGCTCATGCCTGTGATCCCAGCACTTTGGGAGGCTGAGGTGGGAGGATCACTGGAGGCCAGGAGTTTGAGACCAGCCTGGGCAACACAGCAAGACCTCATTTCTACAAATAATAACACAATGATATATACTAATAAATTAGCATGGTGGCATGCACTTGTAACCTACTATTCAGGATGCTGAGGGAAGATCACCTGAGCCCTGGAGTTGGAGGCTGCAGTGAGCTATGATTGTGCCACTGCACTCAGCCTGGGTGACAGTGAGACCCTGTCTGTAGAAACAGAACAAACAAAAAGCAAACAAAAAACCCCAAAGCTGTAAACAACTTCAAAAGCATAGATAATAGTATTAAGAAGCAAAAATTAGAAAGTGATAAGTTTTGAGTATTTATTACCTTTGCTTTTTAATTAAATTATTTAACGGTGAATTTATATATTTAATTTTTAATAATGGCATTTACAACCAGCTTACAACATTCCTCAGAATTTACTAGTTGGCTAATGACTGGTAGGCACTATCTCTAGCACACCGGTGGGTGAGGGCTTATAGCAACTGAGGGGCTAGGAAGGAAGGGGAGAACAGGCTTATGTTTGGTGAATGCATGTTCCCAGTATTTACTGTGGGCCCAACTGCTACTGAATGGGGGTGGAGTGTAGGTAACCAAAACCACTAGAAAAGGAGAAGTTAGTCCTTGAGGGAAAAACAAAAATAAAAAATTCCTCTTACTCAAATTGAACATGCAAGTAAAATTTCTACTGCCTATGAAGACATTTCATGCTAAGTAAGACAGTCTACAAACTCTTCAATCAAGAACACAAATTCACTCCAGAGTAGAATAATTATTTAAAACTATCTGACAAATATTTAAAATAAATGTTTGCGATATCACAGGGTCCTTAGTAAAATGACTAATATCCATACAAAATAGGTTATGGAACAAAACAGGCATAAATTGAATGAGAATAGTAGGTAATGAAAATTTAGAAATGGTAGACACAAAAGACATACCCATTAAAATTTAAAAATAAAACCAACCCTTGACAAATGAGACAAATTCTAGACTACACACTAGTCAAAGATGAAATCAGTGAATTAAGAGGTAGAAGTGAGGAAATGAACAGCATACAGTACAGAGACCCAGACACAAGCAGAAAGAACATGGAAGTTCAAAGAACCCAAAGGACAGATGAAGAGGCATCAACAGATGTTTAAGAGGAACTGGAACCAGAGGAAATAATAGTGAGAAGAATTTGAATAATAATAGAAGTTTTCCAGAAAGAAGACATGGGTCTTCAGAAAGTATCAACCAGGAAACATAAAAATTAATTCATACTAATATATAGTACAATAACATTGTGGTACATCAAAGAGAAAGAGAAAAACCTTCAAAAGATAACCGTGGTAAAAATATTATAAAGGAATCGCAATTAGATAGCAGGCATCTTAGCAGTAACTGATTCAAAGAGTAATGCCTTCAAATTGCTGAGTGAGGGCAAACATCTATGAACCTCAAATTTTATACCTAGCTAAACCATCATTTAAGTTTTGAGGCCAAAATATAGACATGTTTGGAAATATAAAGACTAAGAGTTTACAACTTACAAATCTTCACTAAAAGAATTATTATGAGATATGTTTCAGCAGAGGAAGAGATGACATATTAAAAAACAATGCTGAACGAACACTGATAATTCAATTAATTGCTGATTATTTTTTTGAAAAAATCCCAGTTTTTAATGTTAAAAGTGTTTAGGGAAGGAGAGACTGAGGAACGCGGGGCTGTCTGCTGCCTGGGGCTGCCGCAGTGGTATGCTGGCAAATGTTTAACAGCTTATTTAAAAATGGAGCTGATTTGTAATGTTTACTAATTTCCATGGTGTAAATACTCCCATCATGGCCGATTTCGAGTTGCCACTGCGATGTCATCGAGCTGGATGTGGAAAGAGATGCCCAGTAGTGCCCATTATATGGTGTTTCCACCATAAGATACAAAAGCGGCCACAGGGTGAGGTGCTCATGCCTGTGATCCCAGCACTTTGGGAGCTGAGGTGGGAGGATCCACTGGAGCCAGGAGTTTGAGACCAGCCTGGGCAACACAGCAAGACCTCATTTCTACAAATAATAACACAATGATATATACTAATAAATTAGCATGGTGGCATGCACTTGTAATCCTAGCTATTCAGGATGCTAGGGAAGATCACCTGGCCCTGGAGTTGGAGGCTGCAGTGAGCTATGATTGTGCCACTGCACTCAGCCTGGGTGACAGTGAGACCCTGTCTGTAGAAACAGAACAAACAAAAAGCAAACAAAAAACCCCAAAGCTGTAAACAACTTCAAAAGCATAGATAATAGTATTAAGAAGCAAAAAATTAGAAAGTGATAAGTTTGAGTATTTATTACCTTTGCTTTTTAATATAAATTATTTAACGGTGAATTTATATATTTAATTTTTAATAATGGCATTTAACAACCAGCTTACAACATTCCTCAGAATTTACATAGTTGGCTAATGACTGGTAGGCACTATCTCAGCACACCGGTGGGTGAGGGCTTATAGCAACTGAGGGGCTAGGAAGGAAGGGGAGAACAGGCTTATGTTTGGGAATGCATTTCCCAGTATTACTGTGGCCCAACTGCTACTTAATGGGGTGGAGTAGGTAACCAAACCACTAGAAAAGGAGAAGTTAGTCCTTGAGGGAAACAAAAATAAAATATCGAAGTCATTGCCAATTTAGATGATGTGGCTGGAATCACTGTTTTTGCCACCAGATTTTCTGCTTTGTTTTCTTTTGAGAACTCTGCATAAATTCCCACTTTTTCTGTCAAAGTCGACACAGTTGAGAGTCTCATAATTGGAGGGACATTCCCATCCCACAGAACCGCCCATCTGCGGAGCTGCTACAGTGCCAGAATGTGACTGTGAACAAACTCAAAATGTGCTTCCAAGCGACAGCATGGGCGGCATTTTAGGGTCTTGGTTTTAGTCTCTTCGATGAGATTTTCGTAAATGACCAATTTACGTGCAAAGATGATTTTTGCAGGCACCAGGAAGGCAATTTCAAGACCTGACTTGTATCAACTGTATTCTGTTTCTATCATCAGCAAAAATAGGAGTCTCAGAATTTAACAGCAAATGTTGGCTACTGGTTTCCTTGTTAAAATAAGTCCACATGGCCCTAGTGATGGGAGAGACATCTTTTTGTTTTGACAGGAAGCAAAGGAGAACCTTTGTTTTGCCTGGCATTTTTGGAATCATCACTACAGTTTAGTACAATCAGATACAGTTTGTTCAAGGAATTATCAAAGATCACATTTGGATATCAGGTTGGAATTGAGCTTGACAGGTAGACATTGATCAGTGCTATCAGAAAACAATCTAATTCAAAGGCAGAGTTGAGAAACACGCCATTAAGAGAATTTATTCAAACATCTGTGCAGAGATAGTCTAGTACCATTTAAAAAAATTATTTCCAGAGTGCAGTTCCATTTGGAATATAATTCAAGATAGGACCTAGATCTCTGATTTATACAGGAGGACATAAATTCACCAACCTGCCTGGTCTACTTTTATATTTCAACAAGGGGTTGTGTGCAGCTGCTGTTCCTGGCAAAATAAAAAACCTTGGAAGTGAAACACGAACCGATCATAAAGGGCGATCACTTTTTCTTCATCAAATCCATCAGATCGTCTTCTATTCCCTTCTCACTCAGCTCATCCAAACTGTAGTACCGGTGGACGATCTTCTCGGCAGTGACCACCACGACGCGGAGCCCATGGGTGTCTTTGCCCAGCTGGCAGCCGATGGCCGATGACACCACCATGTCCAGGTTCTGGTAGGTGCCCCCAGCGTTCCTGTGGTAGTGGCCTGAGAACACGGCTCGGACACCTGCAGGGAAGGGAAAAAGACGTTAGGGGCCCAAGGATTCCCAGGCAGGGGAGGTTCCTGTGTTTTATTCTGTGAACAGTCATATATTAAATATATCATTATATATAGTTAATATATCAAATGCATGATATCATTCCATGTTTAATAAACACAAAGGCAGCACATGTGCCAGCTAGAATCTTTTCAAGGATAATCTGCATGTACAATATATAATGAATATGTTTGCCATAAGTGGTAAGAGAAAGCACTAGGGATTGAGAGAAGGTGAATGACTTTGGGATAAAGTCATTTATCCCAAAATAAGATGAATGACTTTGGGAAGAGACGAAGAAGACGAAAGAAAACGGTACATACTGAGGCCCACATAAACATCTGCAGGATGTCTATATGTCTATTAAAATGATGCTTGTGGAGTTCTAATCAAGGTTGCAGAGCGTGTTCGACATTTGATGTGCCTCATCTGCTGCAAACTTACAGCTGTGATAGATAAAATGGAAAACAGAAAAACCCAAGGACACAGTTGGGCTCAAAAACAAAGCAAACAGCTCTATGGATCAAAATCAAAACAGAAAGGCAAAGTAATGAGTAGGAGTAAAATGTTGCCAGGAGTGAAGCTCTTAGAAGATCCTGTAGTCAAAGCATTTTCAGAGATGGGAGAATAAAGCCCGGCTTCCTGTCTGAAACACGGGGAGGGTTTGTTAGGAAGGAGCTGGAAGACGCGGCTGTCTGCTGCCTGGGGCTGCCGCAGTGGTATGCTGGCAAATGTTTAACAGCTTATTTAAAAATGGAGCTGATTTGTAATGTTTACTAATTTCCATGGTGTAAATACTCCCATCATGGCCGATTTCGAGTTGCCACTGCGATGTCATCGAGCTGGATGTGGAAAGAGATGCCCAGTAGTGCCCCATTATATGGTGTTTCCACCATAAGGATACAAAAGCGGCCACAGGGTGAGGTGGTTCATGCCTGTGATCCCAGCACTTTGGGAGGCTGAGGTGGGAGGATCACTGGAGGCCAGGAGTTTGAGACCAGCCTGGGCAACACAGCAAGACCTCATTTCTACAAATAATAACAACAATGATATATACTAATAAATTAGCATGGTGGCATGCACTTGTAATCCTAGCTATTCAGGATGCTGAGGGAAGATCCCTGAGCCCTGGAGTTGGAGCTGCAGTGAGCTATGATTGTGCCACTGCACTCCAGCCTGGGTGACAGTGAGACCCTGTCTGTAGAAAACAGACAAAACAAAGGCAAACAAAAAACCCCAAAGCTGTAAACAACTTCAAAAGCATAGATAATAGTATTGGAAGCAAAAGAATTAGAAAGTGATAAGTTTTGAGTATTTATTACCTTTGCTTTTTTTTTTTTTTTTTTTTTTTTTTTTGAGACAGAGTCTCGCTTCTTGCTAGGCTAGAGTGAGTGCCATGGCGTCAGCCTAGCTCACAGCAACCCAAACTCCTGGGCTCAAGCAATCCTCCTGCCTCAGCCTCCCGAGTAGCTGGGACTACAGGCACGACACCATGCCCGGCTGCTTTTATTATATATATTAGTTGGCAATAATTTCTTCTATTTTTATGGTAGAACGGGGTCTCGCTCAGGCTGGTTTTGAACTCCTGACCTTGAGCAATCCGCCCGCCTCGGCCTCCCAGAGTGCTAGGATTACAGGCGTGAGCCACCGCGCCCGGCCTACCTTTGCTTTTTAATATAATTTATTTAATGGTGAATTTGTATAGTTTAATTTTTAATAATGGCCATTTAACAACCGCTTACACATTCCTCAGAATTTACTAGTGTCTAATGAGCTGGTAGGCACTATCTCCAGCACACGGTGGGTGAGGCTTATACGAACCTGGGTGGAGGGGGAACAGGCTTATGTCTAGGAACTGAAACATGATTCCCCAGTATTACTGTGGGGCCCCAAACTGCTACTGAATGGGGGTGGAGGTTAACAAACCACTAGAAAAAGGAAGAAGTTAGTCCTTGAGGGAAAAACAAAAATTAAAAATACCTCTTACTCAAATTGAACATGCAAGTAAAATTTCTACTGCCTATGAAGAATTTCATGCTAAGTAAGACAGTCTACAAACTCTTCATCAAGAACACAAATTCACTCCAGAGTAGATTTATTTAAACTATCTGACAAATATTTAAAATAAATGTTTGCGATATCACAGGGCCTTAGTAAAATGACTAATATCCATACAAAATAGGTTATGGAACAAAAAGGCATAAATTGAATGAGAATAGTAGGTAATGAAAATTTAGAAATGGTAGACACAAAAGACATACCCATTAAATTTAAAATAAAACAACCTTGACAAATGAGATAAATCTAGACTACACACTAGTCAAAGATGAAATCAGTGGATTAAGAGGTAGAAGTGAGGAAATGAACAGCTACAGTACAGAGACCCAGACACAGAAAGAACATGGAAGTTCAAGAACCCAAAGGACAGATGAAGGGCATCAAGATGTTTAAGAGGAACTGGAACCAGAGGAAATAATAGTGAGAAGAATTTGAATAATAATAGAAGTTTTCCAGAAAGAAGACATGGTCTTCAGAAAGTATCAACCGGAAACATAAAAATTATTCATACTAATATATAGTACAATAACATTGGTACATCAAAGAAAAGAGAAAAACCTTCAAAAGATAACCGTGGTAATATTATAAAGGAATCGCAATTAGATAGCAGGCATCTTAGCAGTAACTGATTCAAAGAGTAATGCCTTCAAATTGCTGAGTGAGGGCAAACATCTATGAACCTCAAATTTTATACCTAGCTAAACCATCATTTAAGTTTTGAGGCCAAAATATAGACATGTTTGGAAATATAAAGACTAAGAGTTTACCACTTACAAATCTTCACTAAAAGAATTATTATGAGATATGTTTCAGCAGAGGAAGAGATGACATATTAAAAAACAATGCTGAACGAACACTGATAATTCAATTAATTGCTGATTATTTTTTTGAAAAAATCCCAGTTTTTAATGTTAAAAGTGAAACTAAACTAAAAACTGCCAAGATGGGGAGTGGGATAATTAATACATATAAAAGTTATTGTCATATTTAGAAGGAAGATGAAAATAGTGAATAACTTGATACTTTGCTAGGAAAAAATGTATAATTATCATGCTTCTTAAAGATGTTTGGGTGTAAGCAATCAAACTAAAAACAAATTGGACTTTATCAAAATTAAAAAGTTTTGTGCTTCAAAAAACATTATCAAAAGAAAAAAAAAAGAAAAGAAAAGATAATCCATAGAATGGGAGAAAATATTTCCAGATCATATATCTGAAAAGGGTCTAATATCCAGAAAACATAAAGAATCTTTACAAAAAAGGACAAATAACCCAATTAACAGGTGGGCAAAGGGTATGAACAAACATTTTTCCAAAGAAGACATAAAAATGTCCAATAAACACATTAAAAAATACTCCAAATCATTAATCATTAGGGAAATGCAACAAAAACTACAATGAGATACCACTTCATACACACTAGAAAGGCTATAATCAAAAAGATGGAAAGTAACAAGTATTCACAGGGATCTGGAGAAATTAGAACCTTCATGTAGTGCTGGTGGGAATGTAAAATGGTGCAGCTTTTTTGGAAAACACTTTGGCAGTTCCTCAAATGTTAAACATATGGTGACCATGATCAAGCAATTTCACTCCTAGGTATATACCCAAGAGAAATACAAACATATGTCTGTGCAAAAAGTTGTACGTGAATGTTCATAGCAGCATTTTTCATGATAGCTTAAAAGTGGAAGCAACCTAAATGCCCATCAACTGATGATGGATAAACAAAAACTGGTCTATTCACACAGTGGACTGGTGTCTAGCCATAACAAGGAATGAAGTATTGATACATGCGGCCATGTAGATGAACCTTGAAAATATTAAGCTAAATGAAGTGAGCCAGATGCAAAAAGCCACATATTATACGATTCTATTTACATGAAATGTCCAGAATAGGTAAATCCATAGAGAAAGAAAGTAGACTGGTGGTTGTCAGGGGCTGGGGGCAATGGGAATGGGGGTTTCTTTGTGGAATGGTAAAAATGGTCTGTAATTAGATGGTAGTGACAGTTGCACAATCTTGTGAATATATTAAAATCGCTGAATTTTGTACTTTAAAAAGAGTGAATTTTATGGTTTGTGAATTATAGGTCAATAAACAAAATGCAAAAAAAGAAAAAAATTATGGGACGAGGAGGAAGCTAAAATGATCCATGGGGTAATGGATTAGAATTGGAGAGAGTATGAATTCATGTTTAGCTTAATATCACCACAGAGAGTTGCACAGCAAATATTTACATATGTGTATACACACAGGCTAGTATACAGACACCCGTTTCTTTCGTTCTGTCAGCCCAGAGCACCTCGAGGCCAGGACACATGCTAGCAATGAGCACACCCAGCACCCAGACCTCGGTCCCTAATAACCATTCTCTCCTAAGAGGCACAATGGATCCTTGGAGAAATGGCTGACTGTAGGAAATACACAAGATGAGCTTGGAGCATCTTGTGCCAGGAAGTCAGAAAGTGCTGAAAAACAAAACAAAACAAAACCCCACAATGATAGGACTATGTCAGGGGACACTGGAATCAAACGAAAGGGCTCCTAACAACCCTTATTTAGAGCAATAAAATAAACTAGTACTGACTGAATTATAATCCAAAGCATAAAAAAATCCACAGCTCCATACTGATATAAATTGATTAAATACACACATGGGCAGGGAGAGACAAAGCTCCCTATACAGAAGAATAACAAATAGTTTATGTAGATAACTCCACGCTCCAAGAGGTAGAGCATAACCGCTCACCTCTTAGGTGTGGGCTGTGCATTGTAACTTCCTTTCAAAGAGAACAGTATAAAGAGGAGGATTTTTTTTTTTTTAAAGAGTATCTTCCCAGTGGAGATGCTGGACAAACATCAACAGTGATAAGTCACGATTAGTATGTGCTCTCGATATGACTGCAAT